CACACTTTCTCCAACTAGGTCACACCTTCTAATCCTTTGAATTATTTCCAATAATGCCACTCCCTGGTGACTAAGTATTCAGATATATGAGCCTATGGGGGGGCATTCTTTTTCAAACCATCATACCATCCCTGATTCTAGAGTAGGATGGATCTTTGGGTCAAGCATACTTAGTTTAGATAAAGGAGTTACAGCAATGGTACTAAGGGTGATGAGATTTGACCTTGCTAGACCCCTGCTAATATATGTGTTCAGGACTTCATTACGATAAGTATTACAGATTGTTAGTGGATATGAGGTCATTTTTAGAAAGTTCTCCAGCATTACCCATCGACAAGCCTCTGTTATTAGAGGAACATATTATGGCAGGAACCTCGGGCTCTTCTTAAATTATCCTCTTTACCTGAGATTAAACTGGTATTTGGAAGCAGGAATCTTTTATTTCAGGCAGGGTCTCACTGTAAAGTCCTGACTGACTTGGAACTTGCTTTGTAGACCAGGCTGTCTTTGGACTCACAGAAACTGACCTGCCTCTGCCTTCTGAGTGGTGGGATCAAAGGAGTGTACCAGGCTAGGAGGTAATCTGAATATGTTTCTGTCCAGGTTTTCCAGGCTAGTCAGACAGAGTAACTGGGTTCTGACCCAATTCTGACATTAATTCTGTGACCTAAGGACAATACTTAAGTATTGTACTTAAATCTGTATATCATTTTCAGTGGTATAGATATTTTAGCAGTGTTGATTTTTCCAAAAATAAACCCCTGAAAATCTATCCATTTAGCGCGCTCTCTCGCTCTCTCGCTCTCTCACTCTCTCGCTCTCTCTCTGTCTGTCTCAGGGTTTCTCTGTGTAGCCTGTCCTGGAACTTGCTCTGTAGACCAGGCCTCTAACTCCTAGAGATCCTCCTGCCTCTGCCTCCCAAGTGCTGGGATTAAAGGTGTGTGCCACCACCGCCTGGCCAACTATATCTTTCTTAATTTCTTTCATCAATTACTTGTAATTTTTAGTGTACCAGAAATTCATTTCCGTAGTTAAAGTTCCCATTTTGTTCTTTTTGATGGCTATCATAAATGGATTATTTTCTTAATTCCCCTCCCAGATAATTTGTTGTTAGTGTATAGAAACACACTTATGTGTTCTGGAGTGCACCTTCCTAAGCTCTGCTCACAGAGCAAGTAGAATGGCTGAAGGTACCCTATTAAGAGAATAAAATAAAGCCAGGTATGGTGGTACCTGTCATCCCAGCCCCCAGGAAGGGAGGCAGAACGGGGAAGAGTTCAAGGCCAGCATAGGCTACACAGTGACATCATTCCCTACGCTGATTGATCAATTAATAAATCCCTAAATTCCCACAGGTCCAATTCAAAATACCTATCCATGTCAGCAGTTCATCCTGTTATTTTTTGAAAAACTTGCTCTTTTTCTAGTAAATCATTTAGAAATATTTTATTTTCTTATGTGTCTGGGTGAGTATATCCAACGTGTGTACAGGTGTCCAGGGCGGCCAGAAGAAGGAATGTAAACCAGAGGGACAGGTGGCTGTGATCCACCTGACACGGGTGCTGAGAACTGAACCGGGTCACCTGGAAGAGCAGTAGGTGCTCTTAACCAACAAGTCATCTCTCAGCTCCAGTAAGCCATTTTTTTCTTTTATTCCTTCCTCCCTTTAGTTTGGTTCAGTTTTGGTTTTTGTTTTTTCAAGACAGGATTTCTATGTGTAATAGCTCTGGCTCTCCTGGAATTCGTTTTATAGACCAGGCTGGCCAATGCTTAAAGTCTAGGAAGATTGCATATACTTTCTTTCTTTCTTATTTATTTATTTATTTATTTATTTATTTTGGTTTTTTGAAACAAGGTTTCTCTGTAGCTTTGGTGCCTGTCCTGGAACTAGCTCTTCTAGACCAGGCTGGCCTCGAACTCACAGAGATCCGCCTGCCTCTGCCTCCCGAGTACTAAGATTAAAGGCATATGCCACCACAGCCCAACTACTTTAATGTTTTGAATAAGCAAGTAAGCTTAAGTTTCTTTGCCTCCCTACTTACCCAACAGCAGTTCCCAGAGTTCATTATGATTGATCGTAGTCTTTCTAAAACCTTGAAACACATAAAGAGGCTTTGGTCAGTGAGGGGCCATACATATGATAGTGCTTTTGTTAAATCATAAGGGAGCTGAAATTTTTCTCTAGTTTAGTGGCATTGTAGCCATTGTAGCCATTGTAGCCATTGTATGTTTGTGACGTTCTGTGTCACCAGTGTGAGTGGTGATGCTGGTATGAACTATGCTGCCAGTTGCATGGAAACACAGTAATATGATTATATTCTTAATACTAAATAGTGATAAGAGATTATTATACTATTGGTTTATCAATCTATCATACCGTATTATTATTTTATAGTGCACTCTTTTTAAAAAAAATAAAAAGGACTCATTTTTGTTTCTAAAAGTGTGTGTGTGCACCAGGCCCTGAATGCTCTCGAGCCGAATTACAGGTAGTTGCTAGCAGCCCAATATAGGTGCTGAGAACCAAACTCGGGTCTTCTGGAAGCGTGGTGTGGGTTCTTAACCATTGAGCCACCTCTCCAACTCCATGGAATGGACTCACAACTCTTATAAGGAGCAGGATTGTAGTGAAGCGGCGTGCCAAGAGCCACCATCAGTTGCCTCGTGAGTCTCCCAGATGCTGTGCTTGATTGCTGAATTTCTTCTAAGCAGTTCAATCTCACATCTTATTGATTGCGATCCTAGGAGTAATAAGGTATACCATGTAGCCTACTTGTGTAAACTTTTGTACCATCTATGCAGTGATAAAATTGTGCCACAGATCTCTCAGACTGAGAAGTACATAAGGCTTATGGGCTACATCTGCCACCACTGTCAGCTTTTGCATAGACCATGAGCTATGGGTATTGTATTTTTATTTTTTGTGTGTAAGTGTTTTGCCTGCATGTATGTAAGGGCACTGAATGCATGCCTGATGCCCAGAGAGGCCAGAAGAATTCCCTGCAACTGGAGGTTTGAATGGTTGTATGTGGGAACTGGGAACTGAAACGGGGTGCCCTGAAAGATTAGCCAGCTCTCTTAACTACTGAATTCTCTCTCCCAGCCCCAGGTATTGCATTTGTAAATGAGGGAAAGGATGGGAAATAGTCAATCTTACATACCTTTTGTTTGGTTTGGATTTTGTTTGTTGAGACAGATTCTCTATGTTGTTCTGACTTCCCTGGAACTCCCTCTGTAGACCAGGCTAGCCTCAAACTCACGGAGCTCTGACTGCCTCTGCCTCCTGAGTACTGGCCCATGTCTTTAGGCTCTACATCTGTGGAGTCAACAAACCTAGGAATGGGAATATTTAACAAGCAAAAATTACACGTGTGTTGAACCTGTACCCACTTCTCTTACCATTTCTTAAGTAATGATATATAACTACTTGTTTAGAGTTTATGTTGTATTTGGCATTACAAGCAATTTAGAGATGACAAAGCTTCTTGGAGGATGTGTACAAGTTACAGGCAGACACTATGCCATTTTGCCGTTTTACTTGAACCTTCATAAATTTTTGTATCCATAGGAGTCTTAGAGGTACCACTGCAATGCGCTATGATGCTGGAAAAGGCTTTAAAAAAAAACCCACGAAGTTCAGTGTCCACAGATAAAACATCTCAAAGGATGCTATCACACTGCAGTAGCAGAGTTTAATAGTGATAGTGGGAAACCATGGGGCTCGCGAACCAAAATATTTACTAATCTGATTACTGACTGGAAAAGTTTACTCATCCCTCGCTCATGGTATCCACTGGGGAAACAGCATTTTCCCACACAAAACCATGTGGTCAGTAAGGACAAACGAAATTGAGCTCTTCCCAGAAAGACAGAAAAGGAAGAATAAATGGATCAGATAGGAATCAGCAGTGTCTGCTGATTTTATCTAGAACTTTCAGCTGGTGGAGAGCAAATTCAGCTTACAACGTCTCGATGCTGGAAAGAGAGCCGGTTTGCAACGCTTCAGTCTCAGGATAAGGTGTGAGACAATAACAGACATGGTTATTAAACACGTTACCTGCAAGAGAGCCCCTAATGACTTTGTAAGCATAGTCTTTTGCATCTGATCCCTGCTAACCTCCTCCTTTAGTGGTCCTTGACACCTCAACCACATGATTAGTGATGCTCCATCCCAGTGGAATGTTTGCAATTCTCTGATCTCACCAAGACTTTCCCTAACCTTTATTCCTGTTGTCGCTTCTACCCGGAACACACTTCCCTCGTGCCTACCTGGCCAACTTCTGGAAACTTTAAGGCCTAACTCCAGTGTTGTTGCCTTTGAAAAATCATACAGAGCATCCCTAAAGTTCCACCTTACTTTGTTATCTTTCTTAGGGTTCCCTGGAAAGAAAAGACAGGGACGAGGGCTTCCTCACATTTATTCGCTTGGTGACATGATTCCAGGGAACAAGAATTGGGGATGGGAGAACGAGAGTACAAACCAGTAAAAAGAAAACGAAAAGTGCACTACATGACAGAACACACTTCCTGTTACAGGCAGTGGAGACCGGATCCTACTGGAGACAGTCACAGGATCCAGAACTCAGACCGATTTGCTTAAAGAAGGGATAATGTACTACTCTTTGTCTGAGCTCTTACACTTTTACATTTGCCTAGAGAAGAAGCCTTAGGGTAGGAAACAAAAGATACCTACTGCAGTCAGTGATCATGTGTCACCTTGGCTCAACTGGTAACTATGCATACGAAATGGCTATGAGGTGTCTAATACAGTGTGTATTATTCAATCTGATTGTAGCCTTCGCGAGTGTGTGGCAGGGCCTTCAGGGTGGTGGGGGGCAGTGTTAGCGAAGCAGACAGTCCCTTAGTGACAGAGGAACAAGCACAGCTGGTGCTGTTTTGACTCAAGGCTTGGATTTTATCCCCTCCTCACCACTCCCTGGCTAGGTGGCTCTTTATGTAAGCAGATGGAGCAACTCGCCTTACTGAGCGATGGTTGTGGCGTTTACCCATTTATAGTTGTCATTCAGCGTGGTTGCACTGAGAATCCCAATCACGTCCCTGGCACAAGATAATTCCAAGTTGCTCGAAGTCCTGTGAACTATATAAGTGGTGACAGAGAACAGAAATATTAAGCTACTTCTGTGGAAGTGGAGTGCATACATACTCCTTCCCCTTCTACGTGAAAGCCAGCTTCTGTCCCTCGTTATTGGCAAGACTGGGAAGAATCTATTCCCTAGAGCGTTAATCTCATAGCAGGTAACCAAAGGCTATTCTGTTGTTTTATAGTAAGTAGACCACCCCCCAGCACGGCGGCAGAAATCAGAGCTGTTCTGAGGTTAGGTTTCCAGTTAGCCAACCATGATTTTTCTCTGACAGAGCTCGCCTTTTTTTTTTTTTGCAATGGCCAAGCAGGCTGAATAACTGACTTAAACAAGAATGTGATCAGGACCAACAAATCTCCACGGCGTATGTCTCTCACAGAGACACGGATGTCTGTTTCCTCTCGGGCTGTTGTCGCTCTGATTTATTATTTTGCCCAGCAGTGGTGTGCACTTCTTTTGTTTGTTTTATTTTGTTTTTTCCCCTATCATAATAATTCTTTGCTATAGAACAGGGAACACAATATAAAAATTCTGCCAGTTGCTACATCAACACTACAACTTGGCATTTAGGAGTGTGAGTTTGGAATGAATCACCGACTCCACTGGACCACTGTGAGGTGAGCCTGGACCATCTGGTCTCCGTGAATTCCCTCTCTGCTTGGAGGCTATGGCAGGGCTTCTGATTTCTCAGTATGATGTCAGGTCAGACCCTGTACCCAGCAAGTCTTGGAACATCTGCATGTTTCCCTTGTCTCAATGGGTGTCTCTATAAATGGATACATATCCTTTGGGAAACTGTTGGAGGAATACACAGGATATGTGTTTGTGCTAGAACTCCAAGAACTTTACTCAGCTTCCCCTTCACGTCAGAGTGTGCTTAGCTGTGTAGTGGGTAAGGGGCAGCCATAGAAACAGCAAGCGAGGGCCTTCTGCTCACCAGCTGCCCACCCTTTGAGTTACACATGTAGGTCAAACAGCCCTCCAGTGGCTGGATGCTCATGTAGCTTTCCCAGAGGCCCACGGGTCTGTTAGTCATTATCTCAGAAGCCTGTGGGCGAGACACGAGGGTTGCTACTCGGGCCTTGTGGCTCATTATTGTAATTATGTCCACTTTCTCTCTGTCAAGGGCTGCCATCTGGCCTCTGCTATTCTGGGTGCTTATTGATTCATTGTATTAGGCAGTCCAGTTCTGCAGCAGCACCTCTTAGTGTCGAGTACGGTAGACAGCACCACTGAATATCCCAAAGAAGTCAATGGCACCCTCATTCCGGAATTTCTACCTTAGGGATTATATATCCTCTGGGCTCTTAGGAGAAACATAGTTAGGCTGTGGGCCTTAGACTTTATATTTTTTTCCCCATAATTCTAACTTCCTCTAGCCTTCAGACACTTTCCTTAAGTGGAGGGAGGTACTGGCAAGTTCCCTTCATCCCATCCTTGCTTCAGGTACCCTTCCCAACTGTGTATTAGCAGGAACTCAGGTGTCCTTCCTCCATCACAAAAGCCCATGTTGTCAATGATAATGTGGTCTACTTTTACATCCTGCCCTCCTCGACTTAATACTATCCAGATCTTCCTCAAACCTTTGTTCAAACAAGTGATACTGTTCTTGACCTCGTCAGAGGTAAGTGCAGAACCCTCAGGCAAGAGCAGACTAGACTCTAGGCTGGTGGTTCTCAAGACTGCTTTGAGGGGGTCGAACGACCCTTTCACAGGGGTCCCCTAAGACCATCCGTGTATTAGGTGTTTACATTACAATTCATAACAGTAGCAAAATTAAAGTTATGAAGTAGCAACGAAAACAATTTTATGCTCGTGGGGGGGGGGGGGTGTCACCACAGCATGAGAAACTGTATTAAAGGGTTGCAGCATTAGGAAGGTTGAAAACCACTGCTCTAGGCAAAGCAGAGGGAACTGTTTATGCCAAAAGAGCACAGGAGAATGTGTGAGTGGAAATTCCATAGGCTAAATGCTAAATGTAGTTCTGTTACCATGCAGTTCCATTTCGGGTCTGATGACTGGCACCATTTGCTCTATGGATATGGAAGACAAACATCTCTTTAAAGGCTGCCCAGAGGTTGTAATGGTTAGCTTTAAATGCCAACGTTAAACAACTTGAAAGCTCCTGGGTAGAGAGTCTCAATAACAAACTGTCTACATTAGTCTGGCCTGTGGCACATATATGTCAAGGGTTGCATCAACTAATGAGGAGACCCAGCCCATTGTGGGCAGCACCATTCCCTAGGCAGGGATCCCGCATTGTCTAGGAATAGAGAATCGAGATAGCACAAGCTAGCAGCATGCACGCATTTATTTCTCCTTGTTTTTGACTATGGATACAGTGCAGCCAGCTGCTTCAAGTTCCCACCAGGGTGATTCCCCAGCAATGATCGACGATGTATAACCGGGCACTGTAAGATGAACACCAGACCCCTCACTTTCCCAAGCTGCTTTTGTCAAGGAGTTTTATAGTGGAAATAAAAGTAAAGCAGAGACTTTCTGCTTTCATGGCCTGGCCAGGACTGAAAATTGATTACTTGAGCCCATCTTTTCTTTTTCATCTGATTGCTCCCTTGGCAAAAGTGAGCCAATCCCCAGATCTTATCATTACCATTGCCAGGCTGGAGAGATCACGCAGAGGTTAAGAGCACTGGCTAATTCTTACATCTTAATTTAACCCATTTTTATTAATCTGTATATCACTGCATGACAGTGACTTACCAGGTAAAATTCAGCACATCTATCTCAGGCGGCAGATCCATGGCGTCTCTCTGTCTCTCTGCCTTCCTTTTCCCAGCATTCAGTTCTGTTTCCTCCCTCCCCCCCCCCCACCTAAGTTCTGCCCTATCAAAAGGCCAAGGCAGTATAAACAGAAGGACCACCTACACCACTTCTAGAGGTCCTGAGTTCAATTCCAAGGCAACACATGGTGACTCTCAGCTTATAATGAGATCTGGTGCCTTCTTCTGGCATGCAGGCCTACATGGAGTCAGAATGCTGTATACATAATAAATAAAATAAAATTACATCTAAAAAGTAATTACCATTGACTTCAAATTTTTCAGTAGGAAGGTTTTCTTAGTCCTATTTTTCTTAGTCACTGTTCTATTGCTGGGAAGAGATACCACGACCAAGGCAACTCTTATGAAAGAAAGCATTTCATTAGGGGCTGGCTTACAGTTTCAGACGTCTAGTCCATTACCATCCCGGTGGGGAGCTGGTGGCATGCAGGCAGGTGCTGGAGCAGTAGCTACAAGCTACATCTTGATCCATAGACAGAGGGAAAAGCAGAAAGAGATATAGACTCTGGGCTTGGCGCGAACTTTCGAATCCTCAAAGCCTACCGCCAGTGACACTCTTCCTCCAACAAGGCCACACCTCCTAATCCTTTAAATCCATTTAAATAGTGGCTGGTGACTAAGAATTCAAATATTTGAGCCTATGGGAGCCATTCTGGTTCAAACCACCCCACTATTGAACCCTACCCCAAATCATTTATCAATGAAGTCTTGGTGATGTAGTTGACAACAGAGCTAGCCCCACTCGTGCTTTCTGCCAGCTCTGGAAGGGTTCTGACTAGGCATTAGTACCAGAACCCTTCTGGGGTAGGGTAGGGAAATTGCTTCCCACTCTACTTCTACCGTCAAATGCCTTAGTCCTCCGAAAGACAGACTCTGAGACAAGCGTTTCCATATAATCGGTTTCCTTTGAAAAATGACTAAAGAGAACAGCCGTAGGAAAGGAGGGTAAACATTGGAGAAGATAGCACTCCAATGGGTGTGCTTCCCTGGGCACCTGGAGCTCGGTCCTGCTGGGAACCTGTAGCGCCACGAGGTGGTGGCTTACCGTGAGAGATCTTAACCTACATCCATCTCAAAGAGGAGAGCTATGGCGTCTGACTCACTTCCCTTCTTCCCAGCATTCTGTTCTATCTACTCCACCCACCTATGTTCTGACCTATCAGGCCAAGCAGTTTCTTTATTAATTAACCAATGAAAGCAACACTTAGAAAGAAGACCCACCTACATCAGGAACCTTTGAAGACCTGTATAAATTGCGCCTTGGAATTGTCAGAACAAATCACATGACACAGAAGAGGCCACGATGATCGACCTGTTGATTCTATTCTTGATCAAAGGTAGCGCCAGGCCGACCCCCTGACTCTGTCCATGGGATGCCCGTGCTAAAAGTAAGTAGACAAGCTTGGCCAGACGTTCCGTGTTAGGTCAAAGAAGACTCGGGTAGAATGCAAGAGCTACTCCATCCACTGAGGCAAGGCCATGACTGAGCACAGCCACTGTGGCACCAAAGACACAGTAAAAGGGAACACCAGGAAAATGTGAGGAAGAAACCAAAGACGGCAGACACATTCTCGCCTCCCTTGCTACATGAACAAACTACAGCCTAGTTTTCATCCTCTGCCTGCCACCTAGCTCAGAAGCTAAAAATAGGAACATGGGATAGATTGGCATCGTGAGCACTGAGAAGATTTCAACACTTCTCTGGTGTTCCTGCCAAAAGCCAGATCCCAAATCTACCCATGGAGAAATGTCTGACGAACAAAGTAAGGAGCATTGCACAAAATGGTCACCTCGTGCTCCTGTCTCCCCATCCCCACCCCCAACCCCCAACGTGACTGTTAGGAAAGACAAAGTCTGGGGAATTCGTTTCACAAAAATTAAATGTGATATCTGAGCAAGGGTTTTGTGTTGCTAAAACCAACATTATTGGAGCAATTGGCCAACGTTGAGTCTGATCCATAGGTTAAATGGTACCTTTTACATGGATGTTTATTTCCTGCTTTGTTCCGTTGTGGTTCGTTTAAAGAAATCCTTGTTTTTATGGCATGTTAGGGGTAGGAGAATATCAATCTCTCAAATTCTCAAAGAAAATGATGATAAACTTAGAATTTGAGAAAACTAAAAACCTATGAAGATATGAAGGATATATGACAGTTCTTTGAACAGATACTGTGACAAAAAACTGAAATTATGTCCAAATGAAACTTAAATTTTTAACATATATATATATATATATATATATACGTATACAAATGTGTATGCATGTATCTTTTTATCTTAAGCACCTAGCATGATGTTTACTGTCACATAGAAGACAGCATGTGTACATTTACAGAGATGAGAGGGGAATTGAACCAAAGCAAGGGCAGGTTTTAGCTGACTCTACACTTTCTTTTCCTTTGCTGATTTGCTTAGAAGAGTTCTTCTGCCCTAAGCTATGTATTTTCCAAAAGAAGATGGCTTTGATCATGAATACTGGTTGAGTTAATAGACATAAGTAACCACTGGTTGCTTGTTTGTTATTTTTTTGTTAAAAATTCTATGTAGCCTGGAATTGACTGTAGTACTCACGTTTGGAAAGAGGCTGAAAAACAGATCAAGAAAGTCATTTAAGTGTAAGTTTCTTGAGCCGTGGGTCTCAACGCCACATGGGATCACGTGACTGGATGTGACGGTTGTGAATAATTTGGCAAGAGTCAAAGGCTTCTGGACACGCGATGACCAAAATTAATTCAAAACCAAGTGACAGGACTCCCTACACACAAGCTGCCGTGTGGGTGAATGTTGCCGTAGGCAGCTCAGCCCAGGTGCAGGACAACTGTGTTACCAGTTGGCATGTGTGCAAAGTGGTCCGTGCTTATCACTATGCCATGGTCTAGCTATGGAAGCAAAGACTATCATCCCCCATGCACCCTCCCCAGCACGTGTCAAATCACCATGTGTTTGGACTCTGTTGAAACCTACTTTCATCCTTAATAAATAGTGAACTTGTAGACAAGTTGTTGGTTTTTGTTTTGTTCTGCCTGCTTGCCTTTCTCTTTTTTGAGACAGGTGCTCACACTTGTAGCCCTGGCTGTCTTGGAACTCACCCTGAGGATCAGGCTGGCGTCTAATTCAGAGAGCTCCACCTACCTCTGCCTCCTGAGTGATGGGACTAAAGGTGTGTGCCACCACAGCCGACAGAGATCGTTTTAAAATAAATTTCTTTATGATTTACTATCAGCAGATGTTTGATTTGTGAACCTGCTATATATAACCATATATCCAGAGTTGTGTTAAAAGTTTCTAGGTCTAAAAGGGGGTGACAGATGGCAAAAGTGAAAGAAATCTTGGCATAGGTAAAGGTAGTAAAGTTTGAATTCTCTGGAAATAAACTTAATAATATTTTTTATTAAATAAAAGAAGGAATACAGATGGCATATGTTTTCACTCTACATTTCAAGCGTTTATAATATCACCTAACATCTGTTTGTTGCTCTGTAGGAAAGTCTTAAAGCCGTCAGGGAGAGCTGGAAGATAGCAGAGAGCCCCGAGGAGCCAGTTCTAGTCTCTGAGGCTTGAATGTGGTCAGTCCCCTATCTTCCTTTTACATAATCCAGGGAATTCTTTTTTTAGCCATAGCTCGCTTGAGTCAGGCTCCTAAGATCACTATAAAACCTGTCACCACCAACACACCCACAAACCGAATCCGGCGGTTGTCACACTCAGGAACCTCACCACGCTGGAGATGTATCCATCCTGGGTTTTTTTTTTTTTTTTTTTTTTTTTTTTAACAAACCCCAAACAGGACCTTCTTTTCATCCTCACGTGGCATTCCATGTTCAGACTCTCCCCTTTACTGGTGACTTTTCTCTTGGCTGCCTCTGTTTCGTTCACAGTTGCACTCAAGATCTGGACCGAGCTCAGCTTTTCAGTGTGATACATATAGGATCATCGTTTTGTGTCTTCTTTCTTATGTAACTTCTCTCATAAGCTGCTAACTGTGTTGGTGATAGTCAGGCAACCCGCTCTCTGTAATTCTCATATTGTTTGAACCTGGAGGCCACAATAAATCATATTGTTATATAGTATTTGTGGAGAGGTAGTGAATTTTAAAAGCACGTGACTCTCCAAGACTGCAGTTCCTGGATATTAAGAACAGCAATGGAGAGGCAAGTAGGCTGAAGCTTTGCATTGTGGGAAAGAGAAAACTCCCTGGAGACCAATGTGAATGGAGTATATTTTTCTCATATGAAAAATCCATTATATGTGACCTGCTTGTCAATCTAATTCTAAATTCAATTGCATGCTTTAAAAACTTCTAAAGTCTCCGTGAAATACAAAAGCGTATATATTATTCCTTGGAAGAGATGTGCAAAATAAAAAAAAAAATCCAGCCATAAGAAATATAGTTCAGACAAAAAGAAATATAAACAGTTTATACATAAATGACAAGGTGTTAGATCTCAACCAGGATTATACTGAAATGTATATTAAAGCAAGGATACTATATAATATCTTATTAACAGATTGGAAAAGATTAAGAACAGACCTTCTCAGACATACATTGCTGGCAAAAATTCAAGTTAGCATAAGCCCTTTTAGATGACATTTTAGATAAATTTGTAGTATTTATCTAAATTTCAAACACATCTAGTCTCTGACCTGGAAACTCCATTTCTAGAAATTTGCTCTACAGATTCATCCCACAAGCACGCAAGAGCTCATAGTATAAAGTTATTTACTATGTCAGCTTGTCACAGGAAAAATTCAAAACCATTCTTAACAGTTTGTCAGTAGGGAAGCAGTTTAATATTGGACATTTGTGTCGTGAAAGCTGCACAGCAGACACAGAACGTAAGATAGAGAAAGCTAGATGGAAGACCACGGGGGAGGGGGCAGATTTTGTGTATGCTTAAACATCAAGATGACAAGGAAGTGCCAGTGTGTTCTGCAAAGCAGAAGTTTGGTTTATTGGTTTGTTTGCTTGTTTGTGCTTGCTTGATATGGGATCACTCTACAAACTCCAGGATGGCCTGGAATTTATTAGTCTAGGTTGGCCAAACTCATGGCAATCCTCCTGCCTCAGCCCCGTGAGTGCTAGATTTACAGGTGTGAGCCACCATATCTTTGTGCAGAGTAGAATTTAAATAAGAAAGAAAAGGATAAGCCGGGCGGTGGTGGCGCATGCCTTTAATCCCAACACTCGGGAGGCAGAGGCAGGCGGATCTCTGTGAGTTCAAGGCCAGCATGGTCTACAAGAGCTAGTTCCAGGACAGGAACCAAAAGCTACGGACCCTGTCTTGAAAAATCCAAAAAAGAAAAAAAAAAGAAAGAGAAGGATAATTTGTCTTAGTTACATGGTGATAAAACACCATGACCAAGGCAGATTAAAAAAAAAACTAATTTGGTTTATGATTCCAAGAGGGTTAGAGTTTATGGTGGTGGGTGGGAAGGAAGGGAGGTGGCTGTAGCAGCAGCTGAGAGCTCACATCTTGATCCCCAAGCAGGAGGCAGAGAACACATTGGGAATGGCATCACTCTTCAGAAAGCTCCAGGCCACCCCCAGTGAGACGCCTCTTCCAACAAGGCCACGCCTCCTAATCTTCCCAAACAGTTCTACCAACTGAAGACCAAGCATTCAAACATGTTAGCCTATGGTGACCATTCTCATTCAATCTGGCGCATTCCTCTCCCTGACCTGCTCCTCCACCCCACCCCTTGTAGCCTCATGGCCATATGATAGTGCAAAATGCATTTAGTCCAACTTCAAAAGTTCGAATCATCTTTTATCCTCAATACAGTTTAAAAGTCCAAAGTTGGCCAGGTGGCCCACACCTTTAATTCCAGCACTCTGGAGGCAGAGGCAGGTGGATCTCTGAGTTCAAGGCCAGCCTGGTCTACAGAGTGAGTTGCTATGGAATAATCCTTCCGTATACTATATGAATATATATGTTGCTATGATTGGTTTAATAAACAAGCTGACTGGCCAATAGTTGAACAAGTTACAGTGAGGTAGAAAAGCCAAGTTGAGAATGATGGGATAAGGAAGGGCAGAGGCAGAGGAGACGCCAGATAGAGAATGAGTTGGACACACAAGATGGGATGAGGTAAAAGCCACAAACCTCAGGAACGCACAGAGATGAACAGAAGTGGGTCAAGTTGTGAGAGCTAGTTAGTAACAAGTCTGAGCTATTGGCCGAGCATTTATACTTTATAGTAAGTCTCTGAGTCAGTTATTTGAGAAACAGCTGCTGGTTATTTGGAAGCAGGTGGTCAACATAGAAAAACTCTGCCTACAGTGAGTAAGTTTCTACACAGAGGAACCT